GCTTTCATTATAATTGGCTGTGATGAATTATGTAATGAGAATAAACCAGGACCCTGGCTGAATCATGACTCCATATTGATCTCTCTGGCAGTCAGAATCATGCATGGAACCACGTGACAGTTGACTGCTTCCTAGAATGTTCTGTGACGGACAGTATAAATCTCCCAAGTTTGGTTTTGGAAGCTAAAATTGCTAATGCACACATAGAAGCAACTGGCAGCAGGCCCTGAGTGCAGAGAAGACCATTATGAAGAATTACATTCTCGTTAGTTTTCTTTGTCTAATATGATTATAGGATATACTCATGCTCTAACGATTTGTGCTTTCTTCAAATTAACAAAGGTTTTAAGTGAAAATTGCAATGAAATGTCCATTTTCCTTGGGTAGAATGGCTGCAATAATAGAGACAAGTGACAAGCAATGGTGAGAACATGAAGTGGAGAAAGGAATGATTGCATACACTTGGCCATACCACATACTCATGGGAAACAGCATGATTGTTCTTAACAAACTTATGATTATCACAGATGCATCAGCCTTTCTATCGGGTGCATATCCAAAAGAAAGGAAGAGAGTGTTTAGAAAAACTGCTAGGCCGTGGTGGGGCACACCTTTAACGCCAGCACTCAGGAGGCAGGGACAGGTGTGTTGTTGATCTTCTGCTCCAGTGTTAGCAAAAAAGCTGGAAGGGGTTCCTGCGTGGGGGACAATGGTGGATTCCATGGCCGGCCACAAGCATGCTATACAGATAGAGCTTGAGTGAGAAGTTTTATTAGAAAGGGGAGGGAGGGGGAAGGAAAGAGAAAAGAGGTAAAGAGACACAGAGGGAGGACAGAAGAGAAGAGGGTGACAGGAGCAGAAAGAGAACAATAGGCAGAAAGAGAGCAAGAGAGCGAAAGTGGGCAGGGATCTCTCTTTTAAAGGGGTCCTTTGCACCTGCGTGCAGACTAGTTTTACTCATAGAACTCTGGGTTGACCAGGGTACTGCCTGACTGCATTCTGTCAGGTGACAGGGGCAGGCCAGCATAATGCCTGCCTGAATCCTTACATAGATCTCTGAGTTTGAGGTCAGCCTGGTCTACAGAATGAATTCCAGGATGGCTAGGGCTACATAGAGAAACTCAGTCTTGCAAAAAAAAAAAAAAACGTAAAAAAATATAAAGGGGATGGGATGGGGGTCAGAGGGGGCAGGGGAGGAGGGGAGGAGGAGGGAACTGAGATTGACATGTAAAACAAGCTTGTTTCTATTTTAAATTTAAAAAATCTGAGAAAAACTAAAACTTCTTTATAATATGGCACAAAAATATACATTCATTGTTATATATCCACACACAAAATTTAAATCTATAATCAAGAACTGCAGCTTTAACAACTGTGAGATTCAATACCACCACTTAAACCAGCACGGCACAGGTGGCCTCTTTTACAACAAGTACATAAAGTACCGGATACATTGCTAAACACGTAATATAAACACACAAATTGGGGAAGTGGGAGGAATGGCTATAGTGGGTATTGCTGTTCCCAACTCTCCTTCTATTGAAAGACTACCAGGACTTTAGTACCCACTGCTCAGTCTCTGCAGGCCACTCTGTCATTGTTTACTAGTCCTGCCAAGTAGTTTTTCATAGGCCACTTTATGTGCAAAGGGGCCGGCTCATAGATCGCAACATTTTGTGACCCACAGCTGACTGAAAGTGCCCTAAACATTCTCGTAGCTCAATAGGCAAGATTTCAGATGGTGCTGTGAATCTAGGAGCAGGAACAAAGACGGGTAGGAACCTGCATTGTTCTCCGGTTTCTGAGGCTACCAGCAACTCACCTACATTTTTAATAACTATAATCCCCCTCACAGGATAAATTTGTCAACCTTTTAATGACTGAAAACAAAGTTCCAAGACCTTAAAGAATACTTTGACGTAAATACTAGACGACTTCATAAGCAAAAACAAAGAAGCATCCTTAATTCTGTGCTCCATTCTTATCCCCAAAACTCCACAGGCCCTCCACCTGGAACACAGAATAGGGTAGCATTTAAGTTCCAATGGGGTCCCTCAGGAAGGGCCAGGTTAAAGAGCCAGTGTTCCTCAGTAAGATGACATATGTGTGGGAACCACAAAGGGAAAGAAATGTGACAACTGGTCCCCAACACTAACAGCCACGTTACTCTACCACAAAATGCAAAGCAGGAGATTCCCAAGGAAGCCTCAGAATAAATAGTAGAAATATGAGTGTCCATCAGAACAGGTTAAGGACAGATTAGCCTGAACAAAGTTATGAAAGTATATTCCATTCCACAGTTCCCATTCTTGCGAGTCTCTCAACCCATTAGTTTGTAGCCATTTTCAAATTTCTAACTGTGAGCTTTGTCTTTTTAGGCTCCCCTGACTCTCCTTTCCTTGTACTTTAGACATTTTATGGACTTTTTGCATTTTTCTCTTTCAATGACCTGACTGCCTGTAATATGGAAAATCTCCTTTTTTGTCTGTTTTCCAGACAAAATGATCATTTCCCTTCAATAATCATTTCTGAATGAATTGCTAACACAGTAGTTTTCAGTATCTTCTTCATGTTTCCCTACATGGCTCCCAAACTAACTGACATTAAGATGTGAGTGAGTGTCCACCACTCCAATCCTACCTATCTCCCAACTGAATTTTTGTGGTCAGTTAGAGAGCTAAGACAAAAGTGCACAACAGCCCGAGAATTCTCTTCTGTCCTTATCTTGTGCTAATTTATTTGAGAAAGCTCAATAAACTAAAGGATCAACCAATGCCACACCACTATAACTGCTGCCTCACTCAGAGTACAGTCTTGAGGTATGGCTGTGGGCAACCTTTCTTGATGGGTGTGTGACACTGCCTGATCTTGAAGGATGTGAGCTGTCAAACCAATGATGCAGCCATCTCCGTATCCCAACATGCTTGTCCCATCAAAGGACCAAGGTTCAAGAGCTGTACAAGCTCACATAGTTTCTGCTTACTGAGTTCACTGTACATAGGGCTATGAATGGAAAACATGCTGGGGAGTAGGTCCCTTATGAAAACTTCTAGGTTACAGGGAAATCAAGTCCTTAAGCAACAGCAGCGGCCAACAAGGGCTTGTCAGTTACACGCCAATCCAAGTAGCTTCAGGTTTGCTCATGACTCAGACGGAAAGGGCTAATTTTTCCCTGTGCATAACTTTTTCTTAATATTTGCCAGCTGACTAACTAGCATGCATGCCTTTGTTTAAGTACAGTTGCTCTCACCCCATGCCTGTCTTTGGGAGCACTGTCTTTGACTAAAATCTTCAACTGTTTTCTGACCATGAATTAAAGTTCTAACTCCCAAGGTGATGATATTTGTAGGTGAAGACTTGGGGAAGTGATTGGCAAAGGAGGGGGAGCTCTTTGGAATGGGACTGGTACCCAGAGATCTCTTCCACCCCTTTTCTTCCATGTGAAAGTACAAAGAGGACAGTCTGAAACTCAGAAGAATATCTGCCAGAGTATAACCATGTTGGGACACTAAGTCCTCACAGCTGGAAGACAATTGTTTATAGCCATCCAACCACAGTAGTTTGTTTTATAGGCCACAATGAATATATATTCTAGAGATAGAGAAAGAATCTATAATTACATCTCCTCTAAAGTAAATTCTTCAAGAAAAGGGAGGAAGAAATCTCCCCCCTTGAGTGCAACAAGGAGTATTAAACCTCTCCATTTTAGTTTGTATTTGCCCTTTGATGTCCCAGAGACCTAAGGGAAGCTCTTAGATAGGGGGGAGGGTATAATTTTATCTGGAGAGCTTTATGTAACCTTGTTTGGTGGAACTAAAGTAATATTCAGGGAGACATAACTGATTATCATGGGTTACTAGTAAGATACTCGACAAAATCATGGTTCATTTAAAAGGCAGGGGTTGTAAAGAGACTGAAAAACAGAGAAAACAGAAACAGTGACCTGCTCAAGGTGCCCTCTATTTGGTGACATTGGAAAGCAGGGGTAATAACAGATAAGGGAGTGGGCATTTGCAATGTTTGGAAGCTAGGGCTCTGTTTATCCACAGATCCCCCTATTAAAAGTCCCAGTAATTTTATCCTTTCATACTAGCCTGAAGGAATGGGAATCCAATTATAAAAATTGTGACTTAGGACCAAAATGCATGGGAGATGCATTTAATCCCTCTATGAAAGCCATTACTGAGAACATGGGAGTGGATGAGGTATGCTTGCCCTGTTGCCCACTAGGAAATGGTGATAGCAGACAAGACTTCTCAGGATAGTTACATATGGATACTTGATATTCCAGTGTCTCTAGAAGTAGAGGCATGCCTGAAAACACAAGAAGGATTCAGACAAGACACCAAAGGGCAGGCTGGGGTAGAAATACAAAAATGTGCCAAGATATTCATTGGGCTAAGTTGCTTTTGATATAGAACAGATAATTGGTGTAGATGGAAGGTGAACACATTGCTCATGCCCCCTTCCCGGAGTATAGCAAACTGATTGACCCTTTGCCCACTTTTTATCAGTTGTGCTAAATGGTAACCTTTAGCCGTCTGTGATTTCCTCTTTGGAAAACATTAAGACTGCTGAAAGATCAGATCAGAGGGAGAACTGAAGGGGTCAAGTAGATGCTGGCCCAAAGAGAGATTTGGATACCAAAGTAGATTCTGTGTTCAGATGCCTCAGTGACTATCCCCATAAAGAAAATGGTTGTGGGAAGAATTTTGATCCCACTCTTTAAAAAATATCCTCTCTGGTGAGTAACCCAGGCAGATGTTCACTGGAGATTAACAACAGAGTACAGTGGTGTGGTATTCAGCAATCTCTGATATGGCCAAGACAGAAGCAGACCTAGGTGGGAAACTACACTGTATTCCCATCGTGATGCTCTTGAGTTTGTTTCATGAAAGCAGACATTAACCAGGAGACCCACTTTCTAAGAGAGTACTGACCAGAGACTGCATCAAGAAATAGACATAAAATTCCAGAATAATAAGCAATCTGCTATTCACCTGTCCTGGAACGATCATGGATGGAAACTGTAGGAAGTCTGGAAGCAAGTGGCTGGGAACTCAGTCAGTAGATGGTGTAATGCCAGAAAGAGGGCCGTGTGCAATCCTTCAGGTTTAGGGTAATCAACCCATCTGAGGCAGAGCTTATTTATTTGACTCTGGTGTTGACTATTAAGTTGTATTGAGGTTCAGCTGGGGCATATGCTGGGTCTGGACCAGGGAGATGATGAACACGTGGCTATACCAAACACAACCACCTGAGGAGCCAGTGGGGAATGGTGAATTGGTGTATATGGCTGTGGTGTTTTCTTGCCCAAAGATACCTGAGACAGGGTGGGTGGTACACACTTGCAATTCCAGCACTCTTGCTGTGAGAACTCGTGTGAAGAGCAGCACCATGTTGTCAGCACACATGCCACTGTGAAGGCTCAGATCTCCGGGAAATGACTTGCAGTTTTCAAGAACATCAGTCATGGACCACAACATAGTCTTCCCCTGGGGACCAGACTAAATGGTGTATTCTTTCTCTAGATTACTAGAGGCTTCATTTCTTTGGGGAGAGGTCTATTATTTAGCTATCATGATTTTGATTGTTGTCTACATATTCACATTACCTGGAAATTAGGTAATGTTAGAAAAGAGATTCTGAGCACCAAGCCCAGGCATCAGAGTTTCTTTAGACACTCTGAAGGGATTAACACACAGCTCTAGTTGAGAACCATTTCTTCAGGAAAAACACTGAAAAAACCAAGCCCACCAAGACAGACAGCGCTCACTACAATGCCCGGGGTTAGGTTCACAGTCCTGCACTGTTAATGAGTGCTGTGGTCCATGACTGGAGAAGCTTTGGAACTTCTAATAAAGGATGGCTGACTTACTCTCTTTCTTTGGCCAAAATCAACGAAGTGCAAATCTTAGGAAAACTCCCTCCCAACTTTCCCATTTCCTCCCTTCTCCCAATCGGTTACCCCTTTTCCCATTTTCTCCACCCCCCCTCTGCATCCTCTCTCTCCTTTGCTCATTCTCTCTCAGCCCCTTTCCATCCTCCCCAGTCATCCTTAAGTACCAGCAATTTCTGTGGGGAGAAGTACTGAGCATTCTGTCTCTGTTCTGGTGGCTTCAAGTGGAGCTCATCAGTTCAGCAGGCCTGATAGGCAAATGGGGAAGTTCAGGGAGGTGTGTGTTGTGGGGTGGTGGGGGGTAGGGGGCAGAGGGTGGGGGGAACCAGGAGGCTCAAGCCTCTTTTTTATTCCAGTGAGGAAACTCTTACTTCTGTTTTCTTTTAGCCTTATGGATGCTCTTTCATTTGAGAGGTGTATTTCAGTTGGAGAAAAAAAAAAAAAGAAAAAGAAGAAATCAATTTTTGTTCAACATCTTTGTTAGCACACAGGTTATAAAGCACAGGCCATCGCCAAAGCCCAAGTGTGAACCAAAGAACAGTCTTTACAACTCACAGGGAACACTGTTGACAAGCAGACAAGCTTTTATGTGCTAGGCCTGCCTGGGTCAGCAGCCTTTGGCCTTGCCACTGTGAGCTCATACTTTCAAGACTTTTCTTTATCTTAGATACTTGCCTTGGGTGAAATCAGAGCTCTTCTTTCTGTGCAGCCAGAGGCTATTGTCTTTTATGGTTTTATGCCTATTTAATCGAACCCTATGCAATTTTAAGGTTCCATTCCATAGGGAACTTGATTCTCATTTCCCCTCTCATATAAGGATGGGCATTAAAAAACTAAAAGGCTATCCGCAGAGAAGTTTGACTTTATGTGAATTGATCAGATTTGATCTGATCTCAGCTGTTGCTCATAAGTCAATTCAGCCCAAGTTGCTTCTCTATTTTGTGCTCAGTATGGGATTAGTTTATGAGTGAGGGTCATCCAAGTTGTTACTCCATACCTATTAAATCAACAAGCTTACCCAATGAGTTCATGTCTAGAGGGAGACAAGACTCAGCTGGAATTTGAGTGTGGATGTGATTAGGCAAGAGAACCAGCAGGCTGCTTCAAAAGGGACTCATGAACCCACAGAGCACGTGCTCAACATGGTCTGAGTTCAACTATACAACAAGAATTAGGTTCCAAGCAAAGAGACACTGCTTTAGGGTCTGCTGTGGAAACCTACCAGCACTCACCAGATAGATTAGTGAAGGGAAACTTCAGGGAATCACTTTTTCTTTTTCTGGAGATAATGAACAACGACTAAAAAGCAGCTCTGGTCTAGCATCCTCTAACTGGTAGGCACAGATGAAAATGCACTCAATACATGAAGCAAAGACATTCAGTGCTTTTGCAAAAGAATTCAATACCAACATTAGTCTGTCTTTCAAAGCCCAGGGACCTGGCTTCACTCTAGACTGATAGGACACCCTGTCTTTTCTACAATGACCTTCTGTGTAATTGCTTTTCCTTTATTGATTACACAAAACTTAATAACAACATAACTTTTTTTTCTATTTGCTTCTAAGGCAGAGCTTTGCGTGATAGAATCTAAATCATGTCCTTCTGCAAATTGAAATTAGAGCTGTAGCTGTCTGTGGTGCCACCCTGGAGTTCCTTCCAATGTGGGAGATGACTCGGATAGCCTAGTTAGAAAGGGTATAACCTACTACTCTCCTGCAGGCTTACTGTAACCACAGTGGACAGGAACCCCAAACGTGCCTTCTTTGTAAACAAGGGCAGGGCAGCCATCTGGGCTTCCATGAAAATATAATACTCTCTTTCCATTGAATTTGTCACCAGAAGCACTATAAAAAGTACCCTGGTCCATAGTTATATTAAATGTGTTACTGTTTTGACTATGAGATTTCTTTTCCTAAAAAATTCTTTCCTCAGAATGTTGTTCTTAAAGGTTAAATGCTGTATTTTAAATAATGAAGCATTTCTAAGAATGCTTCAAGTCATTCAGAGGACATATTCACATATGCGTCACTTTTTTTAAAGTCTCAATTTAAATATTTTCGGTCATTTACTTTTCTTTACGTTTCAACCAAACCTTAAATACTTTTCCTGCAGTTCAAGTGTGGCCTCTTTATTTTAATGACACCCATCCCACATCAGTCATGAACTTCTTCCTTTATCCTTCACTGGTCCTTTGTCTGTAGTTTCTCTATTCAAGGTCCCATGTCTGATCAGATGACCACTCACTTTGACCAGAGCTCTGTAGAGGCAGTGGTCCCACAAACCAAAGACTCATGAAGATCACCAGGGGGAGTTAAAACCCTGACTCTTGTTTAAAAACAAAACAGAAAAACAAAAACTAATAAATAACAACAACAACAAACTCCTGAGGATTTAGCTATAAGGTGAAACGGAAGAATCAGAAAAGAGGGGGAGAGGTCATGAGCACATTTCTGTTTGTTTTTAAGAGTTGTAGATTTTATGACATGCTCAGGACATACATAGTCCAATAGGGAACTTCTCCCAAATCTGAGGGAGAGGAGTAAGTCCCAGAGGTAAAGTTCTTGCAGAGCTAGTGAAGAGTTAATGACCCAAAATTCTCAAGCAAGCTGAGAAGCTCCCAACAGGAAAGTTTATACCCTGCTAACATCTATAGGCAGTTAGGAACTGATAGCCCCTGTCAAGAAAATCAACATACTGAGATGGAGACGTGTTATGCCAAGTTCATGAGACCCCAGAAAGGAGACCACCAAGGAGCCCACTCATTGATGCAAATGCATAAGGTTTAAAGTTACAAGCCTGGCACAGCAGCTGCAGGAAAGGGTGCCAGGCCTCAATTGCAAGCAGAGGGGTACGTGCCTTGGATGTTCAGGACCTGGGGGCTAGGGGAATTTCAAAATTGTTACTAACAGTTGCCCACAAGAACAGTTGTGGCGAGAAGATGTTATTTACCAAAATTAGTCATTGCTTGACCACCCGGATGGGGCCACTTTGTCCCTGGTGGGCACAATTTGGGTGCTCTTGGAACTGTTTATGGTTCCTTGGCTGAAGCCGAATCAGCCTTGTGTCATGCAGGACATTTCTCAGGGTGGAGTTTTCTGAGGATGGAGTTAACTCCATCTCCAGTTTACCATGCTCTTACAAGAAGAATTCCTCTAGGTCTCTATAGGCCCTGTCCCCCATCCCCCACCCCCATCTCCTCCTGCTGAGAACAATCTACAGATAGAGTTTTCCACCCCAAAAGTTCTTCCCCTTTCTTCTTTATAAAGCCCTCACAGCCCTGACCTTGGTGCACAGTCTCCATCCAGGTGGAGGGACTTCTGCCCTTCAGTGTTCTAAGGAAGGAAATCTGCTTCTATTTGCGGGGTGTGTCTTCCCCTTCTTTCATTTTCACCTAGGACATAACTGGTAGGAAGCTATCAACCAACCACCAGGGAATCTGTCTTTCAGACGATGGTGATGGTGACAGCAGTTGGTAAACTGTGGAGACCAGATCTGACCCTTTCAACTCCACCTGTCAGGACTCCCAGGAAAAACTGCATGGATGCAGAGAGAATTAAAAGTGTGAAGAAGAAACAGAAAATGGTTTATTAACAAACACGAGGAAGTGAATTGTTCAAGCAAATGTAATGTGATGGGCATGCCCCAGAGTATCCTATTCCACGATGCTTAAGTCCTATTTTCTCATTCTACATTTTCTGTAGGCCAATTGAATGAAGATAAGGACATGACCTCCCAAGATACAGCTGAGAAAAGAATTTTATTGAAGAAATGAGGAAAGTTTAGCCAGAGGCATCTGGAAAGGTCCAGACTGAACAGGGCCGTGAGAGAGAGGGGGCAGGGTGGAGGGCAAGCACACCAACAGAGGAGCTAAGAAACTGCAAGGCTCAAATGGTAGGCTTCCATCTAAGGTAGGGAAATAAGGCTGGACTGGAGAGGTTTAGGATGGGGGCCGAGTGAGAGTTGCTGGGAGAAGCCTCTGGTTTTTTTTTTTTTTTTTTTTTTTTTTGGTTTTTACAAGACAGGGTTTCTCTGTATTGTTTTGGAGGCTGTTGGTCCAGCCTGGCCTCGAACTCACGAAGCCTCTGGTATTGCTGTAAGCCTAGTCCCAGGTTTCTTTGGCACCTGACACCTGACACCAATAATTGTTTTTCTATAAATTCATTATTGAAGCTTCACATACCATACAGAAGCAGCACATATTATT